ATGTTCTGAGGAAAAACGTAAAATAACTTTCAACATAGAGTTTTTCCATCCAAATTGAAAAAAAAAACGTATTAGAATGACACATTCATAATATATTTAAATGAAATTTTTAAAGTCACTTAACAGATGTAATAAGGTAGAACTATCTATCCGACTTAAATTATATAAGAATCTTTATTCGATACTCATGCAATCACAAAGATAGTCTTCCAAGAACTAAAAAGTTTTTAAAAAAAAGCGATGAAAATCTCTCTAGAAACACGGTAGAAGGTTGAAAATGTCCTTCGCAAATCTATTAGAGTTCGATCTGCTTTTGAAAAGTCAGATATATTTTGAGAGAGGAAACTTCGTCGCATCTTCCTAGGAAAACTCAACCTCGATTATTTTTCAACAAAAATGAATTGTCTGATGGAGGACTCTTGCTGTAAAACAGTTTAATTGTTGTTTTAAACTACTGTTTAAAATAACGTTTGAATTTTGGATACTTAAATAAAACTAATCTGTGCGTAAACCAATGTCGGCGAAACTAAGCAAATTACGTTTTTCTTTCAAAAAAAAGCAAAAGATCAACAATAGTTTTATGCAAAGTCTACCTGCTGTTCAGTGTTGTCAATCGAATAAAAACATATTTACACTGTGTAATGACTTAGCAACGTTTTAATCATGCTATTATTTCTCATATTCATAGAAAAAAATTAGATCTAATTGATTTGAACAGCATCTGTTCTGATTTTATTTTCAAGAATCAAAACAGAACAAAATAACTTGATGTTGAATAGTTTTACTTCTTCTTAGACTACTTTGTGTTGTTTTTTAAAGCAGCATTTCTCTCTTAGTTCGTTAGCTCCTGTTTTGTTTTGAAACAAATAAACCATTAGAGTTATCATACTTATAAAGAATTAAAATCTAGTAAGAAAATATCTGACGCTTACCATTATAAAGAAATAAAGAAAATCGCTTATACATTCACTTCTCGACTCATCTGTAGCTGAAAAGTTGAGCATACCCTAGACTGAAATCGTTCCGCCGCCCACAGAAAAAAAATTTCAACAAAACCGCGGTTTTGGCCGGTATTTTCAGATGCCGGGAGTCAGACCATCTATGCGTTTCTTTAACACCGCTCAAAACCGCGGTCTCAAAAACTGCGGTTTCAAAGAAACGCATAGATGGTCTGACTACCGCTATAATAAAAAACCGCTCAAAACCGCGGTTTTTCAGACAGCGGTTTCGAGCGGTTTTTCCCGACACACTAGAGTGAACCGACTCCAGCATGCCGACCATAACCTGAAACTTTCAGGCATGGTGCCCTTCTAGGGACAGTGAAGTGAACTCTCTCGAGCTCCATTTCCACACAGTACCATTGTACAGACAGATGAATTATCTGTGTAATGAGCGAAAAATTTGGC